TCTCCGTCTCCCTGGTCTGCTGGCTCCCCCAGCAGACCAGGGAGACGGGGAGCAGCTTTTCTCGCCCCGGAGGAGGCGGGCGGCAGGACCAGGCGTCCCGCCGCTCCAGTCCTCCGGGGCAAGAAAATCCCCGTTCGTAACTGCGGATCCAACATAAGTAGGATCCGCGTAACTCGGGGACTGCCTGTATATACTGAAACTAACAGATTTGCCCAGCATTGCCCAGTCGTACCAAAAGAGAGCACTACTCCAAATGTATCCATTTTATCTCTTTTCTGTAAAGTTTATTGAGACGTGATCCTATTCCAGGTTCATCTGAGTGTTCTGGCTCATCTTGGTTCAATCTCTTTCAACATTCACTCAGTTATGTCAGTGGCGAGGGCTATACTTGCTTTGGCGAGTCTGACTCTTTTCTATTTGTTTTTTTGAGAAGCAGTCCCATTCCAGAGACACATCCTATTTTCCAGGCACAACCAAACCCGGATTTTGCTTTAAGTTATGACAAGAGGGAGTGGTTTACCGAATTTGTTGGTCCTAGCTTCAGGAGTGGTTTGAGGTGGGCTGCGGCAGCTGGCGCCCCAGGCGGAACGTGTGATCGGCGCCCCTGCCTGCACGGCTGTCAATAGAGTAACATCATCATTGGGTGCCCTGGGTACCCCGTGACGTCATCATCGGGTGCCCCGTTGAAGGCGGTGCCCTAGGCGACGGCCGAGTCGGCCTATAGTTACTGGCCGCCCCTGCCTGGCTTTGATTATTCAGGAGGAGTTCTTGATCAAACAGACAGACAAACTAAGATATATAGTGGATGTAAGTCCAATATTTACTTAGTTGGTTTATTGTATAAGTATATGATAACAATGAGAAAGTCAGACATTTTGCAGTAACGGTGTTCTGTGACATTTTTGTATTTTGATGTTTGCTTTTGTCAGCAAATAGTTTTTGAGTGTAAGTTGAGGGTAGGCAAGCCAAATCAGACTCCTGAAAAGGAGTAAAGTAGTTTGGAAAGGTTGAGAACCACTGTTTTCGAGACTGAGACTAAACCCCCTGACCAGAGGACGAGTTACCTCACTCTCCATTACACTGACATGCCGATGTTCACCACGGAAAGAACAAGCAAACTATGGGGTGGAAAGAATTTATCTGAGTGTTACTTCTAACAAGATACCCAGCAGTGAATGCTTTAAATCTTGATGGGATGTTTTCTGTGTAATAATGTGTTCAAAGAACTATATATGATATGTATACAGGAGCGGCCTGAGGCCGGCTGCAGCAGCTGGTGCCTCAGGAGGACGGCCCCCACCTGCATGGCTGTCAATGGCCATGACATAATCACTGGGCGCCCCATGACATCATCATCGGGCACCCGGCGCCCTAGGCAACTGCCTAGTTTGCCTAGGCTCACGGGCCGCCCCGATGTATATGGCATCTTTTATCCCCAAATGCTCCATGAATTATAGGAAAAATCCTGAAATCCTTCCTCAGATCCAACTCCCATTGAGAGCTGAAAGAAGACATACCATATTTTCCGGCGTATAAGATGACTTTTGATGTTAAAAAACATCCTCCCAAAATCGGGGGTCGTCTTATACGCCGGGTATGCGGCTTTGCAAAGCCTCGGGGGAAGCCGGCGGCGGGGCATCCCAGGCGCGCCTGGGCTGGCCCGCCGCCGGAGCCCCTCCGCGGGGACCGTCTCCAGCATACCAGGGACACCGGGAGCAAAGGAGGCGGAGGGGCGCTGGCGTATAAGACGAAACCCTATCTTTTAACTAAAAAATTAGGGGGTCGTCTTATACGCCCAGTTGCCTTATACGCCGGAAAATACGGTATATATGGAAATATACCTCTCAAATAGAACTGGAAGGACCAAGTACCATCCCTGACAGATTTTGCCCAAGATCCCTAAATAGCTCCCTCAAGGGCTGAGCTCACAACCCTGGGTCTAGCAGGTCATTGCTCAAACCACTGAGCTATTCTCCCCTATGAAAGGCAGCTACCTCTAGGGTGCAGCACAGCAGCCAAGCATTGTATTGCATAGGAGTAAGAAGAGGGGAAATGCTGCTAATGGACAGTCGGGCAAACCCTCGACTGTTATGGAAAGGGCAAAGAGATTTTCCAGGCCCCCACGTTCCTGACGGGAGTTTCATACTTACATTCACACTCCATTTCTCTCCCACACAAAATAAGCCACACTGAATTCCATGTTATCTGCCTCCAGCAGAGAAAAGCCTGAACTGAGCATGGGGGACTAGAGAGTTTTGCATTTCAAATGGGGAGCACAGACTGGTCAGCCAGTCCCGCCGGGGGGCCTTTCACAATCACTGTGATGTGCCGCATTTCATGTTTAAAATCATTGTCTCCCAGTGTCTCGTTTGTTTCAGTAACGCAAAGCAAGGGGCTGGTGACTGGATGGGCTGGATCACAAGATTTTGCAACCGCAGGTAAGATTCCGGAATTTGGTTTCACTCTGCAGCAGGATGAAACTGCGCTGCTTTCAAATGTAACAAGAGCATAGAATGCTGGTTAGGACATTCACATAGGATGTAGTAGACTCAGATCCCTACTCTACCGGGTCCTGGCTGAATGCCCTAACCAGCAGGGGTAGCACACTCGCTCTGTCCAGAAATTCTGTCCTGATGTAAGGATCCTTTCACTGAGATGAATGCATTCCCACAAAGAGTTTCCATTTTTGACTAATTGGCCTTAGTTGATGAAGAAACATTTAGTCACAAAATTCCCAACATCTCTAGTGATATCTCTGCCGGAGACTTTGTCCTAGTCTATACTAAGACCTACTTCCAAAATACCTCGCCCCCCGGTTGATTTTCTAAGCGGTGCATCCACACTACCAACCCCGTTATTTTGAAATAACGGGTCACGGAATTCAAACTCTGTACTCCTGCTTTTCACGAGGAGTAATGCTAATTCCGAAATAGGAATTTCAAAATATTGTTAGTGCGGACACTCCAGTGCTGCTAATTCAAACTTATTGGCCTCCAGGAGGCCTCCTGGAGCTACCCAGAGTTAAGGTAGCGCGTCCACATTAACAGAGCCTGCCTCGGACTCATTTTGATGCTTCCCTGTAGTGAGGGCACGCTAGTTCGAATTCGTTAAATTGGGAGTTTTTACGTCGAATTTCGTCATTTCAAAATAGCTTCGTAGTATAGACATGGCCTTTGTGATCTCTTCCCCATTTCCTTCCAGACTCGACATCCCACGACACACACCACAGCCTTACTGGCTCTGTCAGGAGTGCAGTACCCCCCCTCACCACGCATTCGTCTCATTAAGTTTGTGCGCGAATAAACAACAGTGTAGCCATGGCAACATGCATCATGGCGGTGGAGGTACCACTTAGCTGTGCCGAGTATACATCCACAAGATTCAGGCAGGGTTGGACTTAGCACAGCTAATCCTCCACTCCTGTGCTACACTGCTTTGTACAATTGTGTTAGCTCAGTAAGCTTAGTGTAAATATGGGTATACAAACAGGGGACTCATACCCCTAACTCATAGTGTAGACATAGCCTTTAGACCCCCTGGGCTAAGCACTCTAGAATTGCATCATAACCGACTCAGAGTTAAGTTTGGCGGGCTATTAGTGACTTGCTTCAGGATGGCTAGATGTCTGAGGACACCAGCCACTGTGCTCAGGTTACTTTAATACTTTGTACTTTGGTACAAATTGGGGAGCTCAGGAAAGAGAAAGCTGGTTTCTAGATTTTCCTAGCTTTAGGTAATTTCAGGCCTATGCACAATGGTGTCAATATTTCATCATCTTTGCTGAACATTTTCCCCCCTGTTATTTTGGGTGATAGTACCCTGGAAAGATTTCAGATTCTTTTTAGAAGCTGGATTTTTACACTGAACCATGGCAAAATCCCCTCCTTGTACTTTCCAGAGAAAATACACGTGCTCATCTGCATGGAGTTTCATCTTCCAAAAACCCTCAGGGTTCCCCTCAAAAAAAAGTTCTGTGCAATTGGGCAGGGTTTTTTTCATGAAGTTGTACCACTGGTATTAAAGGGCAGTGAACTGTGGAAACTCAAATGGTGGAGACTGTCATGTTGATAGTGAATATTTTATAAATCCCAACACTCAGTCATGCAAACCCTTACTCATGAAAGCAATCTGTAGGCAAGGAGCGCGGAAATAATTTGTGCAGTGGGAATGCTGGGAGAACATTGAACCAAACTGCAAACCTTGTCATGATGGAAATTTCAAACCAGGGCGTACGGCAGCGCTCCCAGCCTCTGGTGCCAGCACCTACACATGCAAACCGATCAGCTATACAAGAGCAATCTTGTGACACCCGGCTATACATATTAGCAGGGCTTGACAAACTATGTAATCTACTCGCCCGTGGCAAGTAGATTACAACCTGGAAGAGCCGTGGTTTGGCGAGCCCTGCATATTAGGATCTGAGGATCTGGCCAAGAAGAGTATATTACCACTCCCTCTAGGCACACCGTCGTCTTCTTACTATATATTTTAGAAATGTGCTTGTTTAGTTTAGAAAAGAGAAGACTGAGAGGGGACAGGATAGCAGTTTTCAAGTATCTAAAAGGGTGTTACAAGGAGGAGGGAGAAAAATTATTCTCCATGGCCTCTGATGATAGGACAAGAAGCAAGGGGCTTAAATTGCAGCAAGGGAGGGTTAGGTTGGACATCAGGAAAAGCTTCCTGCCTGTCAGGGTGGTTAAACACTGGAATAAATTGCCTCTCTGTGTGTGTTAAACACTGGAATAAAGTGTGTGTGTGTGTGTGTGTGTGTGTGTGTGTGTGTGTGTGTGTGAGAGAGAGAGAGAGAGAGATCTCCATCCCTGGAGATATTTAAGAGCAGGTTAGACAGACACGTGTCAAGGATGATCTAGACAGTGCTTGCCGTGAGGGCAGGAGAGTGGACTCAATGACCTCTCGAGATCCCTTTCACTTCTAGCGTTCTATGATTCTCTGATTCCATCTGTCTGTCTGAGAGCCTGCTTGTTCAAGAACTCCTCCTAAACTGCAAGAGCTAGGACCACCAGATTTGGGATGCAGCTTCCTCTTATCATAACATAAAGCAAGGTCAGGGTTTGGTTGTGCCAGAACAATGGGAGGGGTGGAATCTGATTGTTTCTCATAAAATGGAAAGGGAGGGGTCTGGCTGGAGGGACAGTTCTACTGTAGAATGACCACAGGGGAGTAGCAAGGGGCCAGAGACGGGGACCAGGACACAAGAGGGCAGGGGTGGAGAAAGGGATGGCTATTTACTATATATTTTTGAGCATTTGTCTGTGTGTCTGTCTGTCCCCCAGCTGGGGTGCATGAACACCTCCCCCAGCTGTGCCTGCAGAAGCTGCAGAGGCCATGGACAAGCACTTCTCACCTGGTCCTAAGCTGCTACAGTGAGGGGGGGCTAGTGTTGTCCTCTCTCCCTGAGAAAGCCTGCAGACTGAACCCCTCATCCCTAGCCCTGCCCCAGAGCAATGATTCAAATAAAGAAAAACAAAACTTATTTGAGTTAAGGCTGGGTGCAACACTGGATAAATATTCTACTACTGCATAATCAAACTAGAATGTCACACATATACCCTTTCTTTTTATTTGGCACATTGGCTTTTACTGGGCTTTAATGGCTTAGGCCATTTACCCGGAGACATCTTATGCTCAGTCTGGGAACAGAACTCCCAGTGATGTTGATAAAGGCCAATTTTTTGTCTCTCTTGGGGGACAAAGTAGATCAGCTGGCCAGCAGACCTGAAATTTGCAGTCAAGGTCCTCCAGTCCAATCCTTCTGTGATATATCTTGTTGATACCAGCACTAGAGATCAGACCAGCCTTCAGAAAGGCCATCGATATGGACAATCTGATAAGAAATTATTTATGTCCTTTCTGTCTCCTTGCCCCAACATCATACAAAATGTTATAATACAATTACAATAATCAAATGCTGGGATTAAGCACATCAGAAAACAGTTTTCTCGTCTCTGTTCCACTGGCCTTAGTTCATGGTTGCGTGTTAATTGCATCCACTCTTGCATGTCATCCCAGATGACTCCCATTCTAACTCTAGTACTTAATTTGCATACCCTGTGCACAATACCTTGTACACAGAAGCCAATATTTTTGAGTCTAAGAAGATGAAACTATGGAATCAGTTCAAGCAAAGTTTTTAGCACTTGGAAGCAAAACTGTTTAATATATTAGATGGAAAAAAAATCTCGAGAGAGACGCGCTTTTTAACCATTATTTTTAACTTTTGAGTAATTCAAATCTAGGAGCAAATCTACACATTTTTCCACATTTTCACAGTATTATTCTGATTTTCCATATATAGGCCTTGAACCATTTGAAGATAGCTATATCCTTCCCATTAAATTCTCTTTCTTATCAGTAAAAGGACAGGCTCACTTTTCTTAAGAATATCAAGTAGATGTTACACACAAATCTCCAGAAATTACCATAGTTTTGAGACATAAAAAGAAAGAATACCTCCATTCAAAAATACCCCAAAATGCACTCACCAGAAAGCCAGCAGTTCTCTCGGCAAGATTTACATCAGAAACATAATTTCCTTTTCTATCTGCAGCTTTGACACTCTTCTGAGCACTTCACTTCAGCAGTTAGATCTTGATACTTCACTTCAGCTGTTAGATCTTGGCTTCTGTAAGTTGCATACAGTGATTCATTCTGCTGCTCCGAATCATGTGGAAAGCAGAACCCAACAAGCATCTTTTTTAAAGTCCCGGAAAATAACACACCCTCTGCTGTTAGTTCCATTTACAACAGGGTGAATGAACTTTTCCCCCAAGTTGAACTTGAAGAATGTTCCATTTATTTACTCACGTTGTTGCATAACCATTATGAAAAAGGAGATCTGAATAAAGCGAGATACTGAAACACATTACTCTGGTTTATAAAAAAGTTATACAATATGGTTTTATTTTGATTGAACCATCCATGAAAGATGGATTATGATGCATGAGAGCCCTACAGCAGAGCTGAAAGTAAGGGGGTACACACAGGTATGCAACTCTGGCAAGAACTGGCTGAACTGCAGCAAAATACAGCAGGGAGCTATTTAAAGAGCTGGCAGGGACCTGGGTTGTGATAGGACAGTACCTTTCATCCTTACCCTTGGCACAAACAACATTCCCTCCTCCCCCACATCCCATTAAAACAGGAATGTATTAAAATAAATGAATACAATGTTTTCACACACTGCATTAATAATAAAGCAAATCATATTCCACATTCATTATGCCTCATTTTTTTCCACCTAGAAAAATTAATGCAGCTATGTGTCCATACTCTCACACAAAGCTTTTTATGGCTAATCTGGGCAGCCCTGATATTTGAAGAATCTGTTGTCCACAGGTCAAAAATTAGTTCATTCATTTTCCCCAATTTTCTTAACCCATTATGTATATTTTCCCACCCACGCTTGTTACAATCCTGTTTTTCTACTGTGGAAGCAAAGATGTTTGAAAGACAACAGGCACAATTCCAGGAAGTAACTTAATGCAATTAAATAATCCAGGCCAGAGGTAAAATTACCAGTTATTAAGGAATTTAAGTTTCAGCCACCGGTGAGAACTGGTTTATAATAAAGTTTGCAACTGATCACACAAGCTATGAAAAGATGTGGAAAAGGCACTGATATATAGCAAAGTGACTTTTTTTCGCTTTCAACAAAAGGCAATTCATGTCAAACCATGGGAAAGTTGACATTTTAGTAATTAAGATTTAGGATTAACTACTGCAGCTAATAAGAAATTAGCGAATACATAGACGTTAAATTACACTTTTTAAGATTAAGCCAGATTCTGATTAGCCAGAGTGTACCACAGAATGTTCAGTCATTACTAAGCCAATGAGAATATAGGGTTTTTTTTCCTAATAATACTGCAGAGGGAGAATATTCAGCACTCCAATTTGGTTGTGAAATTCATAGTTGAGTGAGTTGGGGCTTGACTCCGGGGACCAAAATCACATCAGGGCCACATCAGTGCATACTGCATAAGAAGGAAAATGCACACAACGATTTTAAAAGCATGGCATGAAGTAAATAGCACTCTAGTCTTTCAGCCAATGCTAAGGTGGGAGAACAAAACTATACAAGGCCTCATATCAGCTGCGCAGGTGGGTAAAATAATGTTCCATCACAATGGACATGGCGAGAATGAGATCCTAAGGCTGTGAACCACATGCAAGGGGAGCTGTGTTCCCTCTAAGCTGTGGGGCAGCACAGCTTCACACGTGATTAATCAGCCCCACCAGTTGGTCAACTCCATGCCTGGAACCCTGAGCCTCTGACTGGGCTGGGTTGATTAATCATGTGTGAAGCCCGTAGGGTTGCCAGGTGTCCAGTATTGACCCGGACAGTCTGGTATTTTCACCTCCTGTCCGGTAAAAAAAATTCAGAAAATACTGGACACCTAAAATGTCTGGTATTTTCTGATTTTTTTCCGAGTCAGGAGGCGAAAATACGGTGTGCTTACCAGGTTCCACAGGGGAGCTGTCCGGCCCGGCGCAGGGAAGCAAGATGGCAGGCAGTCGCAGGCAGCTGTTAGGGCCAAAAAGCCTCAAAAGTGTTTCTTAAAGGGGCCATGCTTTTTTTTTCTTTTTTGTCGATATTTTTTCAGAAACCATCTGGCAACCCTAGAAGCTGGGCTGCTGAGCATCTTGGAGGGATCCACCAAGGTCTCAGGGTTGATAAATGTGGTTACATCATGACATGTTTGGAGGGGGTAAATACAGCTACATTGTGAGATCCAGAGATAGGGACATCCAAAGGCCCTGATACTGTGGAGGGAGGCATAATAAAAGCAAAGAAAGCCTCTGACTCACCATATATTTTGCAATCATTTAAAGACACAGGAAAAATGGAAGAGAAGGGGAGAGAAGAGGTCATGCCTGGGGGAGAGGAAGCCCTCAGTGCCACCCGGACTGCACTGATGGCTCCCTCCAGCTCTCTGAGCTACACAGAATACATGGAACGGCCCTTCAGCAGCAATTTAAAGGGCCCAGGGCTCAGGCTGCTGCCAATGCCACAGTAACAGTGATGGTGGCCAGGAGGGCCAGGCCTCTTTGAATCCCTGGGCTTGGGGGCAATTGCTCCCCCTCCCCTCCCCTCTCCCCGGCATGCCTGTGCAGGAGCCATTAGCTTTTCTTACTCTTATCTGAGGTAAACATCTTTGTGAACAACCCAACGGTGCATCAAGAAAAGGAAACCAGATACCGTTTCTGTGGGGGAGCTCCTAGCAGCTCGGTGTAAGTAGCAGCCGACGGTTAGGGAATGGGCGTCACAAGATCCACCTGCTCTCCCTGCCTTCAGCATTTTCTAATTTGATTGGCAGCCTCCCCCGGCGTGGAAGCTGTGTCCTCCAACCGTTTCCCTTTGAGTGCCGCCCTACATGCAATTCAGAGCAGCCTCGGTCCCTCTAAAACCTGATCCAGCCAAGGCTCAGACGCTCCAGACAGATATATTTATCATTTTCAGTTTGACAGGGAACAGGACTATTTTTTTCATGCAAAAGCCTGGCTTTAGGGGTATTAAGGCTCATTTAGTCTGAGGGAAGTGATAGAAATGTAGCCGTGTTAGTCTGGTGTAGCCTGTTAGTCTTTAAAGTGCTACACAGTCCTGTTTTTTGTTTCAGTTAATCTGAGCAGAGAGGCTTAAGGCCAAAAGGGAGGGGACTTTCTATACTGTTTTTTCCTTCTCCTTTCAAGTTGTGTGTCATATAAGGTCTCTGTCACACCAGACGCAGCATTCTCACCCACCCTTGGGGATCTGCATGGCTTTTCTTTCCCCTTTAAATGATCATCTATGATGTGTATTTCAGACTGACAACTAGTTCCCCCCACCATCGCAGAGCCAAATTCTGTCAGCCACCCCCCATTGGCTTCAACTGCATATCAAGGGGCTGAGGGAAATCTTGCCCCACCCAGACCGGTCACCAAGTGAAAGCATGGAACAGCCAGCACCAAGATCTTTCCAATATATAGCTGATCATCGTCTATGTTTGAGCTTACTGGAGGCAAGGGAAATCATAAGAGGTAAGTGAGGCAAGGGAAATCATATTTGATCGCCTAAATCTTATGAGAGGCATTGACTACCTGTAGCTCTCATTGAAGCCTGCAGCAGGTGTAATAGCTGTGATAGTTCAGTTCATATTGTGTGTTAGGGCAGCCTGAAGCAAAGATGTCTGGAAACTGCACTTTTTGGTCATCAGAAGAGGCCTGCTGCACTGGAGAAACACAGTAACCCCTATGCCACCATTCTCCTGGTCACAGGAATAAGGTGTGTGACTGGGGAGAAGGGTGCATGACCAAGGTTCCTTGAATGC